GAAGGGAGCAGATTCGTTTTCTTTGAGTACGTCGGGTGTGGTCATGCATAGCAATGCGTAGCCGTGTCGCTGTGTTGCTGATCCTTCTTGGCCTTGCCGGGATTGAGGCGTCGTTGTTTCAGTGCATGTGACGACCCTGCAGTCTGCAGTCGCATCTTTTGAAGGGTTGCATAGAGTGACGAAGTAAATGCTGTCTTGATTTTTGTAAAGCTGCTTGTCGTCTTTGTAAGCTGGGGGTACTCCAGTGAAGCTCTTGTAGGCTGCTCTCCAGTGGCCCACTGCGAAAGTGCAATCTGGAGGACTGGAATTAAGGCTTAAGAATGCATCTGATGAGAAAGTTGGAATAACATTAAGGTGATTCCTTTGAGCAAAAATATGTGTAGTCTTTCCCAAATACTCTCTGCGCTTTTTGTTGGTGGCCGCTTCTTTTTGCCTCTAGGTTAGGCTGGACGACTTCCGTCCAGTCCAGCTGCCTCGGCGGCAGCACGGACCTCCCCCTAGATCACACCATAAATGCGAGGAATAGGCGGACGGGAACAATTAGTTCATGCTATCTTGACAGAAGGTCGTAAGAACAGGGGTCAGCTGCACCGGAGCTCAAAAACGCCTCGACTACAGGTGTGCCTGCCCCAGGCAAATTCTCATGAACGTAACAATTTCAAATGCCGCTGCGAATTCCTCTTAAAATTGTATTGGCCGCCGCGAGCAGTTCTACAGACTCCAAAGTGCAGCAAAGAAAAGTGCTGCGAAGAGAATTGTAGCGCTCGGCAACGTGGCCTGTGAGCTGTTTCCAAGCGACGCCTTGATTTGGTCCCATTGCTTCTGCCTGAAAACCACAAGCACGTTGAAAAGCAATTTTATGGCAACTCATTGAATACAATTATAATAAAAGAAAGACACAGTTCTAGAAAAACTCACGTGAAAGGGTCCGCTTCACCAGTTTGGAGCACGTCGGGCGTGGTTAAGCAAATCAGGGCATGAGCACTGTTCCCTGTAGGCAAGAAGTTGCTCTTCACAGTGTGGCTGCTCAAGTCTACATATGGTTTGTTCTCCAGTTCGTTGCAGGTAACGACTCGGCAGTCTGCATAGGCGTTTGGCGAAGGGTTGTACAGCGCCACGAAAGAAACATTGTCTGGATCGCCGTATAAGTCCGCGCTTTTCTCTCTTGATGGGGGTAGCCCACTGAAGTTCTTGAAGGCTGCTTTCCAATGATTCACTGTGGCGGTGCAGTCAGGTTCGGTGGAGACAACAGGCATGCGCGCATATGTTGTGCCGCCAAGTGATGTCTGGTTTTCAGTGCCTTTTCCACTTGTATTGTCCTCGGGCATCTGAAGAAACACGAGAGCAATCCAACCAGAACGGTTGTGCTGCAAGCATCGAGATCCAAATCACTCCTGTAAGAACAGCCAACGCAGTGGGCGGCATACTCGTATCAAGCCCTCACAAAGAGGCTTCCACGGATCTACTGGGTCGGCAGCTGGAAGCCGTGCCGCTGTATTGTCTGGGCCTGGCTGTGCGAATTCGGCAAGGCCAGCTTGAAGTCTCGCAGCATTGACTTCTCCTAAGCAGAGCCCATCCCGTCCTGAGAAAGGCAAGAATACGTAAGCCAACAGGCGTAAAAGTTTAAAAGGTGATCATTCTATTTGACAAGCTCTCATCCGCAATACAAGACTCCAGGCAAAAGACATCTCGACCTGATGCTGCAGATCCCTTTCGAAATACTGCAGTTGAACGCGATCAGCTTTCTTTATAGAGAAGACGCCACATGTTGAAGCCAAACGGTACGGCAACGCACCGAGTGAAACACTGTATGAAACTGGTTCGAGATCAATGGTCTGCCCAGCTTTTTGTGTGGCTGCGAGGAGCAGCGAAGCGCCAAAGACCGGGAGGCGCTTGAAAGGTGCCATCTGACCCATAAAACAGCCAAAAAACGTGTAACAACGTCAAAAAGCAGAAATAATGCAGTGAGCTGAAGTCGCCATGCTAGTTCAGCTCCAGACACGGTGGCTGTCCTAGATGCTGTACCAAACCCCGCCTAGAAAGCAGCCCTGCCGCCTACTGGTGAGCGTTTTATATCAGAAGGTTAATGCATTTTAGTATGTGTAATAAATCAAGCTCCTAATATTATTACTTCAAGAAGCCATGAGCGTCAAGATCGGCAAAGCGATCAGCCGGAGCAGGAACATGACCACTACTGCTCCCGCTCCACAGGGAACCTTGTAGTATGGCCTTTAAATTTCCCAGCTAATCTACGCTGACCAGTACTGAAAATGGCTTATATCTGAGCGTCAAAGCACCCGTCTGCCTTAGTGTTGACTCGATATTCCAAAATTAGTAGTACATGAAGGGGCAGATAGGCAAATATTCCTGCCTTGCCTCTTATTTCAAAGATACAGCTCTCGGTAGATTAGCACCTCCCATTTCCCATTTCCAAGCGGTGGCGAAACATGCCAGAAAAAGAGCGCTATAGCGACAAAGCGCAAAGTCAACGCAGCGAAATTAGGGGAGGCCCTCCCACCTGCTTCGTTACTTGACTATCGCGACGATATCAAGGGAACTGCTAGTGCGATGACAAGAAACGTACTGCACTGGGGTATTGCATGCATACCCTTCATGCCAGTACATTCTATGCAAATATCTTTCTTGCCAATGCGTTCAATGCAAAAGAAGTATCAGCTGCGAACTGGAATTCGCGCGTAACTGCGCCAAACGGAATGCCCGCCTCTCCTAGACAGGATCTATTCACCACTACACGTCCTATGCTTAATCGGGCCCTGACACACTGCTACCACCAGGAAAGTGGTTTTGCGTGGGATACATAATTCGTTGCCATGACGTTCGCCGCAAATAAACCAACAGCTCTTAGGTGCATATCTTTGAGCCTGGTCAAGATCCTGCTAGGGAAAAAGCAGTTGCGAATCAGTAACATATTACACTGTGCCGGGCAAGCCAAAGCAAAGCATCTCAAAACTTGGTCTCCATTGACACGAGAGTTCTTTGCCTTAAAATGTGCTTCTCGCTATGACGGTCGGCCAATGCAAGCGTTTCCGCCTGCAATCCAGCCCTGGCTGACAACGCATCTCCGCCGATGTATTTTTGAGAAAAAGCGCTTCCACACCAATGCTACAGACTCGCTGTGATCAACACCGGGATCATCAGTAGCAGTTGCAGCAGGGGTCACAGGCGTGTGGTTCACGGTGAACAAAACCTTGCAAACGTCTGTTGCAAGCAGTGCCACCGCATCACCGCCTACTTAAAGCTGAAATAACCTCCCCAATGCATTCCATTTCAAACGCAACAACAGGGAGCAATTACTGTACTATCCACACGCTACTGTGACCTGCTCTTTACCGCCCTCCGCTACACAAAAATGAGATCCTTACTTCTTGGCATTACAGTATATGCCAAAAAACCCATGACGCCATGCAAAAATAAGTGAAGACATGGACATCAGCAACTGCCACCATTGTTGATACAAAAAGTTATTACACCCACTGGTCTCAGAATCTCTTGTCCTCCGAACGTTGTGTGCCACCACAGCTGCACCACTAGATCCGTCTCTGGAGCACTGAAACGACGCTAGTGGGGAAGCCGGCTGCGGGATACAAAGTGCGCTGTCATGCGAATTTGCGCCAGCGACGTAGGGTCATCTCAAATAAGAGCATGTGAAGCTTTTGCCGCCAAACTCATACTGCTGCAGCCATCCCAAGCGCCACCAGTGCAAAAGCTAGCAGGCTCGGCGCCACTGCTGTGGCAGAGCCAATGAACGAAAAAGCAATGCGGTCCCATTGTTCTTCTCTGCACAGCGCACGCACGCTACCTACATAACTGTCAAAAAGAGCCGAATTCAGGAATTGCTACAAAATCTGGACCTGGAGAAACTCACGTGAATGGGCCACTGCCGTTTATTGGGAGTGCATTGGGCATGGTCCCGCAAACCAAGGCGTAGGCATGTTTTTCTCCAGCCTGACCGCCACTTTGTTGCCCTGCCACATTCGGATCGCCAGTCGCCTTTGGTGTTTGCGTGCAGGTCATAACGCGGCAGTCTGCACTGGCATCCGCCGACGGGTTGTACATGGCTACAAGCGAAAGGTTGTCTAGATTGTTGTACACTTCCGAAGAGGCAAACTTCCCGGGAGGAGGCCCATCGAAATTCTTGTAAGCTGCCTTCCAGCGATCCACAGTTTCATCGCAGTCCACTTTGGTGGATGACTGGGGAGCGACGGCGAAAGTTCCGGGGGGAAATTTGCCAGTATCTATTGTTCCTCCCTGCAGAAAATAGCAATAAGGTGCAGCCTCGATATGAAGATAGTGAGCCACAGCAGACAATTGGCGAACTCAGCAACTTACCGGCGTCGCTGCCAAGCAAACAGGGTACCAAAGTTGAACGTTTTCTTCGGAAGGTAGAGCCGCTTCACTTCCACTGGCAGGCTGTGTGAAATTGGAGAATCCTGCCTTCCTACGAGCAGCATTGATCTCCTCCAAGCACATGCCTTCCGATTCTAAGGCCACAACAAAGCAGATAAGCAAAACCTCCACATGTGTCAGCAACAACTGCTCAGTTCGCATGAACGCGGGCTTCCAATAGCATGTTTTCCTTGAGATGTCGCACGCCCAGCGCTCAAGGATCTAGGGACCAGTGCTAGCTAGCTCATGCAGTAATCTACATGATTGACAGAGTCTTATGCATTTGCACTTACCGAATTTGACGGTAAGTTCTATTGATTCGGGAATGGACCCTTCATCTTCCTGTGCTTTGCTCAGGAACACAAATGAGGCGCTAAACAAGGCAAGTAGTGTAAGAGGCGCCATTCTGCCCAGGTGATGAGTGGTACAGCTAAAAAAAATCCGCTTAGTGAAGGACGTCGGTTGAGAGCCCGTGAAGCTTTCCTTGCATTCTGGGATCGCCGTCAGTGGTGCGCATGAGATGATGAGCCCCCCTGCTTAGCTAAAAGCATTGTATCACTGCTTTTGGTTATTTCGCGTTCAAATTGCGAAGCCGCAATCCTTCGAGACACATAACTGGCGGGGAAAAAATATGTTTATGTCTCCATTCCCTCTGCTTTGATCCCGCGGAACTCGCATTCTTCGGTGTCTCCTATGCGGGCGCTCCCACGTTCGAAAGCGGTGCGGCAGTGACAGCGCGGCTTATCTGTGGCTGAATGCTTTCATTTTTAGCCTGAATGCTCCAGCGTTTCTCCTGTTTAGGGGAGCGTATAAAACACAAAAACAACATCAGGCGACTCGCAGAAAGTGCAGCTTTGAGCCGACATCCAAAACAGTTACGCCACACAGAACAAGACACGACGTGGGTCAGCCTGCTGCTGCATCGCTGGCGGGTAGCTCTAGGCTCAAAAATTTACACAGATGATTCTAGTATCATATGATCAGGCTCTGTCTCGTGATTTTGGGAACAGTATCGGCAATCGCCGTCGTGGTAGCCAGCAACCTCGCTAGCGACTTCTTTGCAGGCTGGGGAGGTAAGACGGAGCTTTTCTTTTTCAGATTTTTCAGTCGTTTCCTCTCCAAAATCGAGACAGCACACAGAAGCTTTGACTTCCGTGAGATACCCGTGCGTAATTCTGCCCATGCCCGCCACCCTGCTGCACTCCAACGCGAGTGAGACTTTGCTCCCTTTAATGAGCAGTTAGTCAAGGTAAACATTATAGAAACGGGCACTTAGATGCACGAGAATGCTGGGGCGACGAAATTGAAGCTTCATGTTCCAGACAAGTGGACCACGTAGCGCGCAATAGCGTCGTGAAACCGAGGATTTCGCAACGGATCCTCGCTCACTCATTGCATCAGTTCTAAGGTTTTTAGGCAACCATTCTAGATGGCAAAAGGCTCTTCGATTCACTTCATATGAGTCAGTCCTTCGATAAAGCTGCATTTGGGCACCGCTTACAAAGCTGTGTGAAACAGCATAACCTTTTCCAAAAGGGCGTTCCATAACTTGAAATGCTTCCTGGACGCATTTGCAATCGAAAAACCAGCGTCTGAGAAAGTACGAATGCGACTTGCATCATTATTCCTTCTCTACTAGGAGATACGAGGCAACAATAATGTCCCTGCCAGACTGTGAAATACCGGCCCACAATAACAGAACCCCAATGTTTTTTCGTAGTCTTCACATCCTTCCCCAACATCTCTGTAGTGGCTTCCGTTTACCTCTCACTGTGAGAGACTTGTTTTGGCGTTATTTCGCTGCTCTGAGATGTTCAATCCGTTGCCAGCATCTGCTAAGCGATACACTCCCAGCCAAATTAGTAGCAGACTTCACAAAACGTTGAAACTTCTAAGGCTAGCAGTTCGATGTCCAAAACCCTAGCAAGGAGTTAGGAAGCTGACGCTGAGATGAAAACAGCCCAAATCAAACTGAGCCAGCAAACCTTCCGACCGATAAATCAGATACAAGATTATTCCTCTATGAGGAAGCTGAACCAGTACAGGAGTCACTTAAACTGGTGGATCTGCGCTGCGCAGGATGGTTTTAGCAACTAGAAAAACTAAGACAAGCACTTGAAACTGCCGAAGTACTCCCAATGAGAGTCGGTGTCGAGGCACTAGACAAGGCTGCTCAATGCACGATATTTTGAAGTGCGAGGCATAAATCAGTGTACCTCTATTTAAGTTGACCTTCAACGAGGTGCCGATGAGTGACAACTGCAATGCGTCGTCCGATACGAGGAATAAGTTCCTGCCCTCATATCGCCCCTTTGCGCAATTCAACTAGTCAAATTAGAAACACGTTAACTCTCCCGGGCGTAGGTTTCTTTCGATCCATCGTATGTGATTACATATTGTGAAAATAGAACAGAGGCGGTAGGGCTCAGAAGCAAGCAATCGACTCCCGCATCTCTTGAAAGGAAGAGTAAGGCGGCTTTCGGGATGCGCATGCACGTCCTGTAGATGCAGCTCCTCGCTTACGCAAGTACGCGGACGCACTGAAACATCTATATGCTCACTTTGCTACATTGATGCACATACGAGAGAACCGACGCTACGACCCACAGACACTGCGAGAAGGGAATCAAACAGACATTTTACGTGCAGTGGAACCAAAAAAAGACAACAAACACAGCAGCTCCTGAAGCCTCACAACCTTGGCCTCTTCAAGGGTTACCCTCTTCAAGTGTAGAAGCTTGCTGGGCTATGCATGAGGTTGTGTGTTACACACAAATAAACCGCACAAGAAGCACACTCCGGATTTCCCGCGGGCGGCAAATAGATGCCTGTTCACTATCTCCAGCTTAAACTGTCTGTGCATTTACCAGATACGTCGCCAACAGATCCTGTAAGCGTCAAAAGTTGCAGATCCCCCAGTGCTGTGGCCGTTAGAGCTACCGCTGTGGCGGTTCTCGCAGTTGCTGCCGCCGCATGAGGAATGATTTAACGGTTGCGCATTTTCCGACTAGTGTGCACATTTCTTCTGGAACTTTCCAAGGGCTGCGACAAAGACAATACTTCCTAGTGAAAACCTAACTATTATGCAAGGCAAGCTCCCAAGAGGACACAGGGCAATAGAATGGGAAAAAAGTCTGCATGCATGCAAGTCCCAGAAATTGTGAGAATCTCAAAAGCTCATAACTCCCTGGGACCTTTTGGTGCTCAGGGGCTCATGAGGTGCTTCTAACACACGGGGCCGCCGGGCTTCTTGACAGCGAATGACCATGCCACAGCCTAAAAAGAATCCAAAGGAGAGCGCGCCACCAACCTGTAGATACAGAACAGAAGGCTCATACATAAGTGTTTGCTGGCCTTTGTCTACCTACGTTAGGCGCGGCTCAGTCTACTGCTGTGTTCCGTTGCTGTCTACCACTGAAACGCGTCCCCCCAGCAACGACGATCTAAAATTAAGGTTTCAGGGACTGGAGTTACCATTGAAAAAGGCAATATGAGAAAGTTTCTGTTCTTTATTGCTGCATATGCCCCCGTTATGCCGCCAAAGATGCCTCCAACAGCACAACCCTGTAACGCGACAAAAGACAAAACATTAGAAATACCTAGCAAAAGTAGGGGGAAAAATGAATGTTACAGGTTGGGAGGCTGGCCGGAACACGATGGAGGGAACGCACAGAGCACACTCCTGCAGCGAAAGAGGCAGGCGAGAAACAAACGATGGCAAAGGAGATGGCGTAGATCCAGTCAAGTGCATTTTGAACAAGGCCAACAATCGAAAAAAGCAACAAACGACGGAATTAGAGATAAAAGTCGCAAAAGAGAGATCCACCCGGCAGGCAACAGAACATCGACAAACTGAATGAAAGGAAGCTAGGCATTGAATGAAGACAGACGCGGGGGCAAAAACAACAGAAATTTTTGCACAATGTGAAGGAAAGCAGCTCGAGCAAATACACTACTACACGGAGACAATATATTTCTATGAGAAAGACAAAAACGAGAGTATGCAGCATAAATAAAAAGGTGGAAAATGTGAATGGCTGGAGGAAAGCCGAAAACAGACGACGGGGAAGTGAAAAAAGCGAAATAACAATTAGAAAAGCTGTTTGAGGACCTTCCGCAGCACAGTGAGAGTTGCAGAAGAACACAACACCGAGAGCCCGGCTGAAAAGCGAAGAGGCACCCTAAAGAGTGGATGCAGGACACAACACACAGCCGAGCCGAAAAGCCAAGAGGCAAGAAAAACAAAGTAAAAGCCTCTATTAAACAAATACGATACAAGAAATGCTTTATATAGAGCCTGTCCTCACCATTTTCATTCCCATTTTAACGCCTTCTATACATCCCCTCAGTCTCGGGTTTGTAACATGCTCATCCAGCCAGGATCCTTTCTGTTCTGCGCTTCTTATATACTGTGCTGCGTATTCAGAATCCCTAATGCCGGGGCTCTCAGTGTACGCAGACCTGCAGCAGCAGCAAGAACAGCAGCAACAACACAGCCAGCAGCCATTGCAGCAACCGGCTGAGCACACCTGAAGACAAACAGGACCGCTGGCAGCAAAAGTAGCAAGAGCAGCAGCTACCGCAGCTGCAGCAGCAGCTCGAAAGACGATACCGGAGGCAGCAGCAGCAACAAGAACGTCTCGTTGCAGCATATTCGACAAGTTCAAAAGAAACCACATGCATCACAGAAGCAACGAACGCAGCAGCAGCAGCACCAAATCCCGTGGAATTACGTGTATTTGGAGAAGTCCTCATTGCTGTAGTCCGTCCCCGCAGTTGGAGGTGCAAACGACAAAGGCAAAGGGGCCCCCCTTGAAGCTCCTGCAGGTTGGGGGGGAGAGGGAGGAGGCTCAGAGAAGCCCGTGAAGGGCCCCGAGGGAATGGGGGCCCCCTTTGGTGGGGGTGCTGCAGCGCATGAAAGGCAAAGGCAGCTCAGAGGCCCTCAGCCGCAAACTGAAAAGTCTGAACTTTTGGCAAATCAGCAGCAGCACTGCTCCTCCCTGCTGCTGCTCTTCTTCCACGCGAAGCCAGCTGTAGCAGCTGCAGCAGCTGCAGCAGCAGCGCGGCGCAGCTCTCACGCGGAGGCAAAGTTTGGAGTCCTGGGGGAAGTTCTGGGAGGCTTTTGTCTGTCTGGGAGTTGTCCTTTGGGGCGGAAGAGCCCCCAAAGAGCCTGAGAGCAGAAACCAACGAGCAGCATTGCCACTCTGCTGCTGCTAGCGAGGCTCTACAGCTTGCTGCGGCTGCTGCAGCCAGCACCACCACTTGCTGCAGCTCCTGCTGCTCTCTGCCCTTCTGCTGCGACCCGATGGGGTCTTCCTGTTGGCGGTATTTTTCGACACATAGAAAGGCCTCCGTGGTGGCCTGATATTCGCCAACTGCTGCTGCTGCGGGTGTGCTGCTGCTGGAGGTTCCTGGTGCTGCTGCTTGTATTGCTGAGCCCTGCTGGACTTACCAGCTCATCTTGCTTTGGGTAGAAGGAGCTGCTGCTGTTCGTGTTCAATGAGGGGCCCCTAAGGGCCTCCGCAACCAAAAGGACAGAGCACCGCCGCAGCTGTCTTCGAGAGGGTAACCGGCGAGATCTGCGTGTGCAATACAAGTTAATAATTCTTTTGTAGCGGGGGTAGCAGCAAGAGCAGCCTCAGCTACTGCTGCAATTGAGGAACTCGGGGGCCCCACAGCAACAGGCAGCCTGGCCCTTGGCTGTACTGGGCCTCTGCTGCAGTCAGCCCGCTGCTTATTTTCCTCTAGACCGCCACGAAATAAATTGCTTTCCTTTGTTTTTAACATGTTTTTGGTGTCTGCGAGGCAAGGTAACGGATACTTGCTCTATTTAAGACTTTGAGGCGAAGGCTTGGCTTTGAGCATCCAAGGGTCTGCGCCTTCCGCGCTGTGTCTCACCAGCAGCAGCTGCTGTGGAGGTGTAGTTACACCTGAGTGGTGCAGGTGTATGTTGCCATGTCAAATGCAACTTATCTATGTCTTTTAGCGCAGCGAGGTCCCACAGTTGCCGCTGCTCCGTTAACAAGCGCCGACCGACAAGCGACACCAGACCATTAACCGCAACAGCAGCAGCAGCTGCAGCAGCAGCTCTATTGGGAGCCTACAATATCGATTTAATGTCTGCGCGCTATCTTGATGTGCATTTGCGGGCCACGAAGACTTGGGCAACAGCCTACGGCTCGCAGCTTCAGCAGCGGCGCCAGCAGCAACAGCACGGGCAACAACGGCAGCAGCAGCAGCAAGAACTAGCAACTGCTGTTGCAATAGCAAAACCAGCAGCTACAGAAACATCTACAGCCCTTCTCCACCACCGGCCACGACTCCTGTGTGCAATCTGTGCCAAATCCAGCACAACTGCCTGTACAGTGGATTGCAAGTCAGCAGCAAGTGCAGCCCTTACAGCAGCAAGTGAAACGGCCTTATTACAGTCTGCTTCTGTTGCTTCTGCTGCACTGTGGCAGCAGCCAGAAGAACTGCCGAGCCACCATTTAGTATTTCCCAAAAGGAGAACTTGCATTACAGCAACTGGAGCGCAACTGCAGCAGCAAACTCAGCAGCAGCTTCGTCACTAGGTACAACGGTAGCTGGAGAAGTAGCTGCAGAGCAAATGTAGCCGCTATCGCTGCAATAACTGCAGCCAGCAGCAACTGCAACACCAGAAACAGCAGGAGCAGCAGCGGCAGCCGGACCAGCAGCCACAATTGCTGATTTGAATGGTCCAGCTGCACTAACACTTGCAGGAGCAGCAGCGGTAGCTGAGCGAGCTGTGTCAGCAGCAACAGCAGCTTTTCGGCTGCTGCTGCTGCTTGGTGGCGCTTCTGCGGAGAAACCTTTCTTCGATCTATGCGGGCTTTAAACTCTGAGCCATAGAAATCAGGTCTTGGAATTTAAATTAACCAGTTTTTACTAAAGGCTTTTGCATTTCTCGTTATGGATGAGGGGCCCCTTGACGAAGACGGGGGGCCCCCACTGTCCCGCTCGGGGGGGCCCCTGTCTCGGATCGCCCCTGTCAGGTTTTCTCCGTGTTTGCAGCTGCTGCAGAGGCTACTGGACGCGAAGGGAGACAGCCAGATTAGGGGCCTTGCAGGCATTGCAGACCAGAGGCAGCAGCAGCAGCAGCAACAACAACAACAGCACCTGCTGCCGAGTGATGGCACGACCCCACGCAGCCCCGCAGCAAACGCTGCGGCTGAAGGGGACGATATGAGCGTTAATAGCAGCGGCAGCAACAGCAGCAACCAGGGCAGCAGCAGCAGCAGCAGCAGGAGATGGCTCTCAGTGCGTGAAGGAACCACGAAAGCCTCCGCCGTCTCTCCAGGGGCCTCCCGCTGGGGCCTCTGTAGCCCCCGAGATGGGGGAGCGACCACTTTTATTGGAGCTACTGCTGCTGCTGCTGCTGCTGCTGCCTCTGAAGGTTTGCTGGCTGAGTCGGAAGCAGCGCTGTTCTCCTCGTTGCTGCCGACTGCAGGAGCAACAGCAGCAGCAGCAAGTAAGACTGGAAAAGCACCAATAGCAGCAGAACGTGAGGAGTCAGTGTCTTCGTTAGGCGACGGGGGCCTTTCCTGGTGGGGATTCGATGGGGTTCCCGAGAGCGGCTGCAGCAATAACAGCAGCAACAGCAGCAACAGCAGCAACGCCAGCCCCAGGGGAGACAGCAGCAGCCACGTGGCAGAGGCGTACTACTTCCTTTCGGAGGACTCACAGCAGCAGCATCAGCAACGACGAGAGCAGCAGCAGCAGGCGCTTCTTCTTCGGGGAGAACAACTGAGCAGCAAGATCTCACAAGCTGTTCAAGATCTTTCCACCAACATCACCGACCCTGTCAGCAGCGTCAGCAGCAGTGACAGCAACAGCAGCAATTCAGGCGCCCTCAACAGCAGCAACAGCCGCCAGTGGGGCTTCCTGTGGCTAAGACGGCTGCTGCGATGTTCTGCGGCGCTTCTGCCTCCTGGACTATATCGCGGCGGGGCCTTTTTGGGAGCAGCAGTTCATCACGAGGCTGCTGCGTCCTCTATGTCAGCAGCAGCAGCTGCAGTTACGGCAACAACGACAGCAGCAGCAGCAGCAGCAGCAGCAAAACAAACGCCGACCCCAGTAACAGCAGCACTATCGCAAAAATTTGATGGGGGAGGCTCGATCCATTCTTCTGCTTTGCGAGCAGAGACCCTGCCACAGGAGGCGGTTGTTGCTGCTGCCGCTGGTATACCTGCCGCTGCTGCTGCCGCTGCTGCTGTTGCTGCTGCTGCTGCTGCTGCTTCCAGTCCGCACCATGAAGCAGCAGATCCCTGTTTCCCTGCAGCACAAAGTGCATCAGCACCAGCTGCTGCTGCTACTGCTGCTTCGGAGGACGGCATTCCCGATTCCAGTGATGTTTGGCACTTGCGGAACGACGCAGCGCTTTCGCCCTTACAGCACAGTCGCCGGAGTAGCAGCAGCAGCAGCAGCCGCAGCAGCGGCAGTGGGAGCTGCTGCTCGGCGGATGATGCTGAGTGGAATGAACTTTGGCACGCTGCTGCCAAGTGGGCCACTGACGGCGGGGCGTCCGCGCTGGAAGGAGATTTGCTGATGCTTGCTGCTGAGCTGTTGAAAGTTGCAACTGGTGTTGCATCTGCTGCTGCGGCGTTGCATCGCCAAGCTCTTCTGGGCCTTTTTAAATGCCAGCATCGGGAACAGAAAAGCAGACAGCCAATGCCGCAGCAGCAGCAGCTGCACCAGAAGAGGCAGCAGAAGGCGCGCTGTCTGGCAGCAGAAGCAGCAAGACTCTCTCTAGAAGCTTTGGCCTTTACGGAGAGATCCCGCAGGCTTGCAACAGACGTAGTTGGTAAGTTATGCAGCGGCAGCCACTGTAGCAGCAGCAGCAGCATGTGCAGCGACAGCTACAAAAGTAGCAGCAAGTCTCATCTAAATGGCCATTTTTCTGCCGACGGGCAGCAGCGGCCCCGCTCTGCTTCATAAAGCCTGTAGGAATTCCCTGGATATCCATCTGGGCGAAAGACCTGCAGCAGTTGCAGTACTCTCAATTGATTGTTGGTTTGTTTGTTGTCAGGAGAGCTTTCTTGCCGCATTGTCTTTCGCGCAGCTCTGTGTCTCGCCAGGTGGTGTCTTGCAGTCTGCAACTTCAAGGTCTGTCCGTGGTGTCGCGTCTGCTGCTGCTGATTTTGCTGCTGTTGCTTTTTCTGTCAGTCTTGTTGTTCGATCGCTGCTGCTGCTGCTGCTTCTGCTGCGCGACCGCCTCCCTTTTCGTGTGTGCGTTGCAATAGGCTGGCGCAAAGATCACTGCCTCTCCGTTTCCGCCGCTTCTGCTGCTGCCGCCTTTGCCACCGCATCAGAGGAACCGCAGCTTGCTTCTGGTATTGTACAGCCAGCAGCAGCAAGCGGAGCAGCAGCAAGCAACGCTCATGCCCCCGCAGTGCGCCGCACACAGGCAGCAAACCCTTAATGAAGATGCATGCTTCCTCCAAACGGCTGCGACCAAGAAAGCAGGGCTCGAGGAAAAGCCTCTTCGTGGCCCCTTGTCAACGCCTTACTCCCAAGAGTATCATTTGCTGCAGCATTGGAGCCATATGGGCTGTTGCCACTGCAAGTTTTGTGCTGCTGCTGAGGGCTATCTGCCAGGGGCCTTTGCTTCGCTAGGAGGCATTTCATCTGCACTCAGCAGCAGCAACAGCAGCAGCAATGGGTGCAGCAGCAGCTGGAACCTGAGGTGGCCTCCTGAAGACATGCAGAACAACGCAGCCAACATGTATGACTTTGTCGTTAAGAGGGCGGAGCTGCTGCTAACTTTGGTTGCAGAGCAGCTCGATGCTGCGTCTGCTGCTGCTGCTGGGCTGGAAGCAGCTGACACAGATAAAAGCGACAGTCGTGCTGCTGCTGCTGCTGAGCTAGAAGCAACTGACACAAATAGAAGCCGCAGCTGCACGGCCACGGAGGAAGCTGAAGATATCCCGGCTGAGACTATTGCTGCAAGGGCTCAAGGGGCGTCAGCAGAAGAAGCAGTAGGAGAAGCTGCAGCAGCAGGAGGAACTGCAGCAGCAGCAAGCATTTCGTTTAATTTAGGGGGCGCTTCTCGGGTAGAAGAGGAGGAAGTAATAGCGAATGCACCAGCAGCAGCAGCAGCAGAAAGAGCAGCTGCAGCAGCAACAGTTGCGAACACTGCAGCTGCTGCTTCAGCAGGTATCTGTGAGGGCCTTTCTTTCAGACTGGAGGCTTCTCGCGTGCTGCTCGAATTTATTCACAAGGCTCAGGTGTCCAGGCAGCTCTCCGTCAAAGTTGCAGAGCTTACTAAATGGCGACAGGAGCTGCTGCTCTTTTTTAAGGATCTGACGCGGCGCGAGCAGCAAAGGCACCAGAAGCAGTTGCAGTTGCAACGGCAGCAGGAGCAGCTGCAGAAACAGCAGGCGCGTCAGCAGCAGCTAAAGCAGCAGCAGGTGCTGCAAAAACAAGAACAGCTGATTCAGCAGGAAGAGCAGCAGCTGCGGCAGCAGCAGCAACAAAAACCGTATGAGCAGCTGCCGGGGAATCTGTAGATGTCCTAATATGGGCCTGTCTGTTTGTTCTCCATGAAATTTTTTTGACATAACGTCATTCACGTGTATATGTCTTTTAAGTTGTGGGCCGCATTATTAAAGTCGACAACTGAAAGTCCTCAAAGGGAGAGATGCAGTGCATGCTTTTACCATTTGACATGCAGGAAAAAGTTTACCAACTTAGTTGCCAGGAAGGAGAGCCTAGAGCCTCAAAGTATTAGTTAATCAGTGTTGTTTTGTAGAACGTGCATTGGCCGGCTGCAGGGCTATTCTCATCTAGCACTGCTTGGCCCTCCAAAATTACAAGAATAGAGCTTTGTTTGCTGTCATTTGGCGAAGTGCAGGCAAATTGTGGAGGTAACGGTCGACGAAGACGGTAGCAGCGGCAGCTGCAGTAGCTACGGAAACGGCAGTGGCGGCAAGAGGAGCAGCAGCAGCAGCAATAGGGGAAGTACCAGCAACAGAAACATTACTAGAAAAGGACCTAGAAATGCCCATAGAAATAGTTGGAGATGGATGCAGGAGGAAGAACAGCAAACGCGGGAGTTGAAGCCACAGGACCAGCTGCGGCCAGCCGCACCAAAACGACCAGTTGCAGTTACAGAAACGCAGGACCGGCTGAATTCACAGTTCAACTTTAAGCGACAAGGTCAGCTACAACTACAGGAGCAGTAGCAGCCACAGAGCCACATACAACCGTGTAACAGTTGCAGATGCAAGACCAGCTGCGGCCAGACAGTGTCTTCCAGCCGTTTCCCCGACCCAGGCACCAAATAAATAGACCATAAAGATTGCAGGAACTCCAAAACGCAGGATTTGCGTCGCTTCAGCTGCGAAGCCCTGCTCAGGGTGGTTCGTGGGCCTCAGGGGCACTGCAGTGACCTTGGCTGTGGGGCCCGCTGCGTTTGTATTGGCCTTCTTTCCACTGTTGCCCCCCAGTAGTCAATGAAATATTGTACAAATAAAAGGAGGGAACCAGTGTGCATGCTGATGGGTTGGCTTTCTGCATCGTACGTACACATGGGCGTGAGCTAGCCAGGGCCCCAGTCGGTGACTGCCAGGTAGGTAGGGCTCAGGCAGCCATTTGAAGGCGAAATAAGCATTTACTTCCCATCAAATCATTTTTTTTATTTGCTCCCTTTTTAAAATTTAATTGTATAAAACTGCGAAAAGCAGATTCTTGGCCCTTTGTGAACGTCGTATGCAGCAGCCCCATCTGCAACCCAGTGCTCGCTGCGCGCTGCTGGACCTTCCCCTAGGGAAACCATCGTCAATATTGCCTCCGGGAAACGTTTAAGTTGCAGTAGAAGACATTTGAGCTAGAAAAAGTGACTCTGTGCTAATTTGAGCCAGCAGGAAGCCCCGTTTGGTACTGCTGTTGCTGTGGTTGCTTGTGTTGCTGCTGCTGCTGTTGCTGCTCTTCCCAGTGTTTCTTTGCCGGCTGGAGACCATTTACTAACGC